ACCGAACATTTTCTCGCCTCGCAAATTTCCAAGGAAATATTCGCGAAATTACGCTTGGCAGATTCGCGACCAATCCAGCAGCATTAATCCTTTGGAGGCAAATTCTTCTTTCATCGATTGAACAACAATAAAAAAGTTGATTCTAAAACTTTCTGAAATTCAAAACTCCAATAATCTTCTTCCCCTTATCTTAATGATCACTACTGAGAAAAATTGCAACAACCGTGTACAATTGGCAAAAAAAAAAAAAAATTGTGTAACAATTTCCGACAATTTCGAGAATATCAAGAAAGAGGATGGTGGATGACGTAAAGGATAGTGGAAGTGTAGAGCGAAACGAGAAGGCGAAACAAGAGAGAAGGAAGAAGGTTTAGTTAAAAAAGGACGGAGACGGCGAGGTCAAAAAGCGTTGGAACGAGGCGAAGAAAGAGGGAATAAGGCCTGGCGCGGACGATCCAATAAACACGAGAGTTTATCGAGCTGTTATGCCAGTCGTGGTCGCTTATCTCCCTGGACACCCACTTAAACCTCGCCTGGAGTCGTCCAGGTGAACCACGTGAAAAACCTCACACGTCGTCCACCTCGCATCTCGGCTGTCTATCCTCGCGTAAACGCGTAGAACCAACGATGCGCGCAAACTGTCCTCTTCCTGTAAACGTGGAGAACACGCTCGGTCACGCGTGCGGAGTCACGTATGATCTGTTGCCGGACTGATGATCCTTCGAGGCGTTTATCCCTCGATCGAGCGGAAAATTTCACTTTTCAAGCGGGGGGAATAATCTTCGTAGAATTATTTCATTTCATTTCATTTCATATCATTTTTTTTTTTTGATTCGTGCATGAATGTATTAAAAATTTGTGAAAAAAAAATTCGTTAAGATGAAAGGGTGGATTAAATATAAAAGGTAGGTTCATAAAAGCTGGATTTTTTTTCTTTTTTTTTTTGTAAATAATTCTACCGTCGAAATATCGAGTGCGAAATGGCAACTGGCCCGGCAATCTGCAACATTTATACAAAATGAATGATGTAACAGGAGGGCCAGGAAATCTCTGCAAATTCGCGTTCGACGATAAAAATATAACAAGCACTTTTCTCGCTGAATAAACCATTCGCGACCGGGGTGTCCCTTGGTCGAAAAATATCGAGTCGGGCAAATAAAAATACCATAGTTTCGCGAAATATTCCCCGCGATTTCGACAATCGTTTAGCTGCGAATAATAATCTTTGATAAATAACCGATAATCCTTCGATTTTCTGCCGTACCAATGCGCGTATTAAAAATCCGTGCGCGTGTATAATAGAATAATTAATATTAAAAGAAAAAAATATTTAAAAAAAAATAAAAACATCCTCTATTCAATTAAATTATCCACCATGGACAATAGTCGAGAGAAAACGAAGTTAACCGGTATCCAGAGAACTAATACGGTTCCTCAAAAACTTAACACCTTAAACTTATCGTTAATCAGGTGAGAAAAGACTCGGATCAGTCGGTGACGGATACTCGGCGGCGCCTCGAGTCGATCGTCGGATAATAGACGAATAATAGAGCGTGGTGGAAACACGATAGCCAGTACTAATGACGCGCGAGAGGAGGTATATTTCAGATATGTGGGTTTCGTGGATAATGGTGGACATGGACACGTGTAAGTTGGGTGCTTGTGTGCGCCGCGGCGGTAAAAGTAGTAACGTGGGAAATGGTAGCCTCGTTCTACTATTTTATGGAGTTCTCGGCCACGTAATGGGATGCTGATCGTGTGGAGCCGGCGGGGTTGGACCGTGTACGAGTTATGAGTTTTTGGGATTTGTGGTGGTCGAATACGGAGTTCGTGGAAACGGGTGGATCGGCCGGTCACGGTGTTAAGTTATGCGGTAATTAAGTCAACGTATGGGGAGACACGTGTTTTATGCTTATCCCTTGTACCTAGTAAGGTAATAGCGTTTTTTATGGGTCGTCTCGTGAGTTACGGGATATCGGTTTTTGGATGTATCGATCTTTTATCGCGTTCAACATTTTGAACATTTTTACCGCCGCCTAACTGGAGACACACTTTTCGAACGTGGAGATAAATAAATTAGACAGGAGAATGATTTAAAAATTGTGCGGGGACGGGGAGTATGATCGATAGCGAAAGATGTTCGCTTTTGGGACGAATTTTCGTAGCGCGAGAGAAAGGGAAGGATACGTTTCTCAAAAATGTATTTATCAAAAACGTGTTACGAGTGAAATATTGATTATATAAAAAAATTTAAATGCGAAAATACGCGTTGAGCGAAAAAAAAAATTCGGTCAACGAAGGAAAATCTTGACTTGGCGTACCGTCAAAAAAGAAGGGAATATAAATTAATTTCCACGAATATCCCCAATCCGGTAATTAGTTTAAAAAGCTGGCAAGGATCATCCCGAAAAGAGAAAAGTAGCTCCTCACCGCAAAGTAGCTCGGGAAAAAAAGCCCCTTCGCGCCATTATCACTCTCCACCTCATCCAAGTTGCATCAAAGGGATCCGCGAAAATCGTTTCGCCGAAAGTCACCCTCCTCCCGGTTCCACAGCTAACGATCACACCTAAAACGCGGCAACAAAAGGGCCTACCACTCGCGTTTCCCAAACAGCCTCTCGTCGAGAGGTTCCCCTCGAAAAAACCTGAGGATGGGAGGGGCTCTGGAACGAAACGAGAGGGAACGAGAGTCGCGAATAACACGACGGCTTCTCCCTTTATCCCACCGGATGGAAAATCACCTTGCGCTCAACAACGATATTTCTCTTTTTTTGTTTCAGGTAAGTGGCAGCTGCTTCAACTTTTCCCTCGATAACGTGGATGCAAGCTTTCGTTGAGCTTTCCTCGATCTCAATCGCGCTCGTCGTTCGCGGCAGATGTTCGCGCGCAGAGGGTGTGCACGGTGGCCTGGTGCACGACCTGTTTAGGGTGTAATTAAACGCGTCGGTGACCGCGGTGAGTGGCCGTGGAAAGACGAGGGGGCGAGAATTGGGAACACGCCGCGGATGAAAGCAGGTAACCTCGACGAATTTTTCCTGAAAACGAGAGCAACACGTTGCCGTTTAACCCACCGTCGCTCAACGCTCCGTCACGCGAAAATGGAAATGTAGAGATGAACGGGGCGATAAATAGGGATTGCGTGAATTGTCGATGAATTGTTGTCCGTTGTTGGTAAACGGAATTTCGTTGAACGAAACGGTATGATTCTTATATCGAATTTATACCTAATTTATTATTTATTTCTCAAAACGTACTTCTGGAATTGATTTTATCCCTTTTTTTTTTTTGTTTTCTATTTTTTTATTTTGAGCGAGAAAATATTTGGATATTATCTGGGTAATAAGAATTGAACTGTTTCGTACAGATAATGGGATATAGAGTGTGAAAATTTTATGAAAACGGAGCAAGAATTTTAATATCGTTTCTCCTCAGAGGCTTTTATTCGCGCTTCATTTGAAATTCAGCGTGTATTATCCGTTGAATAATGATAAAGAAGATTCGTGTTAAATGTTGGAAGAGAACGATCGAGAATGTGGAAAGGAAAAAGAAGTGGAAGTAAAAAAGTAAAACACGCTCTGTACACAAAGGCTGGTGAATTAATCGGGGCCGGGGTAATATTATTCCGATATTGCTCTGCTTCTTGCGCGGCTGATTTAAATGAGGTGCAAATTCCTAGAGATACCAAACTGCAATAAGCGGCGCCGATCGATATATCTTTCCAACTCGCTACTTGCCCGTGGAAAAATATCCCTCGCTATCGCGGCTGTCATTAATTATTCCATCACGTGGTTTTATTCGATCGATTATACTTCGAAAGTATCGATACCTGTTTCGACCGCTCAATATTTCACAGGTGTCTTTAAGCGTACGCGTGTGAAGTCATCCAAGAGACTCGATCACTCGTTTAGATAGCTCAATGGTCATAGGTTTGATAGGTTTCAGTCCTCTTAGTATTCTTAAATTCGTTTCAAAACGAATGAAATTTCGCTTTTGAATACATCTTGATTGCCACTCGACGGTTTCTTAAATTTACAATATTTCTCTAACACGAGTCTGATATACGCGACGTAGACAGAATGACACTACAACCGATTCCCTCCAAAAGATAAACCATGACTATTCACTTTCCACGCGAAATATTCTCACCACCATTGAGAATATTCTCTTTTCCTTCGCTTCGATCCAATAAATGATCTTCATCGAGATAAAAATTGTTAAAAACCTGGTGCAGCAACGAGCTTTTTTAATCTAAGAAAATGGATCATCAAAAATTTTGGGAAAAGTTGATTTAATTTTAATCAAAAATAGAATCTTGGGCTTATTTCGACTTCACAAGACGCGATGCAAATTTGCGCAAGCCGACTTGTTATCTACGATTATCACGGTGGATTTTCAGCGCGCTTTCGCAGCGGCGCGTACGCGAGGATCGAAGTGGATCGAGCCAGTGTTTATCGAAATCCTCGGGCGTGGGGAACGGTTCGTTGCAATCGCGTTCTAACATCCTCGCGACGCCACGGGATCTTTCGCCCGTTAGTTCCGTGACTTTATTACACGCTTAAGCTTAGGGTAATGCGCTGATCCCGTGACCTCGGCTTAGACCTCGCTATCTTCACCCTGCAACCAACCGTTCGCGTGGGCGAGGTGAAAATGCTTTTTTCCTTTCCTCCCCTCGCCAACCGAATTTATTTACCCTTGCTGAAATCCCTTAAAATCTTAAACTCCTCCGTGTTCGCGTAAAGCTCTCGCGGAATTTGTCATTGAAACGCCTCCTATTTGTAGAACAAATTTCATCTTCTTGAAGGATTTGAGGAATTTAAACTCGATTCGATATAATTGAAAAGAAAATTTTTGAATATTATTCTTCATATTTTTTTTTCCCCCTCCCCAATATCACGATTAAATGTACGTAGCAAAAATTTAGAAACATTGTATTGTAACATTGTAATACGATTATTTTTCAAGAGAGAGAATAACGGAAGATTTCAAAAATAACGTGTTCAATTATTCCAAAATTACTTCGGCCCGGAAAAATACGAAAACATCGATCAATCGAATCGAAATATCCGCCGTGTAATTCGCCGATAATTTATCGATGAAAATCCGCCTAATAAATGGCGTATTTAATCACGATAAATAATTCACCGTTCGATCAATTAAAAGTAATCGATGAAAGTAAATGGGTGATCGGCCATACGGTTAATGAGCACGCGACATTCGTTGCAAAAATCAATCCCCCCGATCGTTAAGCACGGCAATTACGGGGAGCTTTTTCGAATTTTCATTCCACTTAAAACCGCTTTGGTGCCATTTCAAAGCGATTAATTTCACCGATCATTCATTCCCAGGAAATTTTTCACGGCGAAAAGGCTCGCGCAAAAAAGGCTTCGCTTATCCTTCCATCGTTTCCACAAATGTATTTTTGGAATCCGGGATGGCACACGCGCGCGGATATACATATATTATAATATACTCGAAAACCTCGACCGGTTAACGCACCGGCAAATCGCCGAATCCCACAGCTTTCTCCCCATCCTTCTTCCCCACCTTTCTTAAATATGTTTATCCGCATGTTTTATGCTGCTCGCGCAATAATGCAGTTCGCGTATCGCATCCGAGCAGGACATCTCTCCGAAACGTCTCGTTCGTTTTGCTGACGAATCTGCCAGGACCAGCCAGGGTCTTGGCTCCCTATCGAGTTGAAAGTGGAGGGAGGAAGAGAAAGAGAGAGAAAATCGAAACTCGTCTGGAACGACTTCGCGTGCATGGCAACATACAACGACGAATCCCGACGAAAAAGAGGCATCGTTTTGGACAAATAACGGAAATGCAACCGGTTTCCACTTTCCAGCCGGTCGAATCGTACTTTATCTCGCCGAATTTTCTCCCGGACACGTTCCCTCGTTTAAAACGATCACCTTAACCTCGTCTAGACCCACATCTTCCATATTTATCCAATGAGAGATCGTTTCCAGTTATCAATACCGTATCCTCGAGGATGATGTTCCATCCCATGATCCCGAGCCCGGATCGATTTAAGTTTATTTAAGCAAATGGAGAAACACGGGTCGACCTTTGGTGTCTCCGTCGAAGAACGTCTCATCGAAAATTACGGGGGAGAAAGAGAAGATCAGAAAGATCTCTTCGACATCTTTGGACACGTATCGCGTTCTTCAACGTCGCCCTCCTCCCTCCACGTGTCGGCTGGCGGAAAGGACATTATCGCGTAAGCTTCTCAATCGACGCCGATTTCCCCGCTCGACGTCGTCGTCGTCGTCGTTGTCCTCCTCCTCGTCCTTGTCACGGATAGAAAGAAGGGACGAGAGAAGGGAAAGGGAGAGCCGAATGGGATGTTGCGTCATGGGTTTGACAAACGACAGGACGAGAGAAGCGACGCGTTGCGTCTGCCACGGACCAACGTTCACGGAAACGCGTGGGGTTCCTGCTCCCTTCCTCCCTCCGGATCTCGCATCTATCCTCTTGAAAGGAAGGCGGCGGCGGCGGCGGCAGTGCTAGTCGACGAACGAAAAAGTGAAAATTTCCTCGAGCGGAAAAAATGATATTCAGCAGGCAGCCAGATTCTCGAGGCCTCTCCTCTTTCCTTTGCCGGCTGACGCTCGCTTTCCGCCACTCTCCTCTGTCTCTTCTTCCCGCCGCGGACAAGGAATCCCAGGCGTAAATCAGACCATTTACGATTCGCGCAATGGAGATCCGCTGCACGACCCATTTCCCTCCAGATCGATCCTTGTTATCGTTTTCCCTCCTCTTTCATTCTTCTATTTTTCTTCTTCTTCTTCTTCTTCTTTTGGTTTTTCTTCTTTCTCGCCTTTCTTGACGAGTAGGAGCGAATCGCTTTGAAAATACCCTTTGAAGCGTCCTTTAGGTAACGCGACACCGTTTATTGAAACGCTTTGATGGCTCGGAAGTGGTGGATAATTGTCGAGTTAATGGACTTTGGGAAGTTTTCGAGTGTCGCGGTATGCGGGGGGAGAGCGGGGGAAAAAAATATCAAACGGAAAGTGAGCGTGGAAAGATGGAAGAAGTCGTAAATGTTTGCGTAAAGTGATGAACGTGTTTCCTGTTGTACGTGTTCGTTGGGAGAAAGTCGCCTTGCAGAGTTTCTTTGCAGCTATAAAACTGGAGTAATGAATTATTCTTCCTGATACATCCGATTAGGGAAACGGTTAGTAAAAATGTATGAGATTTCGAAATTTGTTATTCCGATTCGGGTCAGAAAGAAACGTTATAATATATATTTCGAAAAAGAATTTCAAGACATATATATGTATGAACATTTTCTATAATCAAACCATTAGCGAAAAGATAGCGATGTTAAAATTTATTGGAATGTGAGAACTTCGAAATAACCAACAAATCATCCACAAATCATAGATCGTGTTTGGACAAGTTCGTGATATGCAGGTTTAAAAGCGTCTAATAAGTGGACGGAGCAGAAAAAAAAAAATGAAAATCGCTCGTGATTCATTTTTTTTATTTTTTTTTTTTCTCTGCCTAAACCTTGTACTCCGTGTCATTATTGTTGTTGTATCAACGGATATTAGCATAATCCCGGATTAAGTAAATTTTTTTATCCCCGGATGACGAATGAAGATTCGATTCGAACGCTCGCCAGTCCCAGCCGCCCTCTCCTCGCGAGGAGAGAATTTATCTAAATATTTATTTTATATATAAACGAAGGATGGAATAGAAAAGCGAAACGTTGCTCGAAAGAGATCTTGGCGAAGAAGGAGGGAGGAAGAAAAAAAAGAGATGAAGGACGCACTTACGGGACGACGCATTAATTTATGACGCTTTCGACCGCTTCTGACGCTCCTCTCGACTCTTCCCTAATCCTCTCTCTGCCTCTTACGCGCGTGTCTCTTCTCTTCTCTTCTCTTCTCTTCTTCCCGCGCATATTTGCGAGATGACGCCCGCCTGTAGATTTCGTGATCACGGATCGGTCTTTACCATGGGAATAGGCGATTATGCGAATGTTATTTGGCTCCACAATAACAATATTTCACCGGAACGATCGAATGTGTTCATTCGAGGCGGCACTTAGCGATTGGACAACCGATTCCACTCCGAGAAAGAATTCATTCCACTCCTTGATTTACGGGATATATATTTCATTCCCTTAATGAACTCCTACTTCGCCATTGTCGCGCTTTTGCGCGTTTAACAATTAGATCTTCTCGTTGGTTTCATCACGAATTCGACGATATTATATTTTTAAAAAATTTTTTCAAGAATTATAAACGCAATAATGTAATTTTGTTGCATTTTTTTCTTTTTTTTTTATTACAAGTAAAAAAAAAAGATTAGCATTTTTAAATTTCAGATAACACGTGGCGTATATTTCACCCGCGAATATCATCGATCGAAAATAAAATTCCTCTCGAGCCAATCACGTCGCGCGAGGCGCAAGACAAAGGCGCAGAAGGATCCATAGAAACGAGAGAATCAGGGGTCAGAGAGAGGAAACCTTTCTTCTTCCTTGCCGTATATATACACACACGCGTCTTTCTCCATCGAACACGCGCACACGCGAGCTTTGTAGTAATAGCTATCTATCCATAAGTTATTTCCAAGCTGTGATTTAAAGTTGCCAATGCATAAAACCCCACGTTTCCGCGCTACTCGTCACGCGGGTTCTGTTCTTTCGCGCGGTTCTGTTTAGAACTTCTGTTAGCCGAGCGTGCACGCGAAAATACTACGTTTGTACGTACGTCGTCGTGGAGAGGTCAAGAGTGGAGAGCGCGCGAGAGAAGGATGACGCGAGGGTGGAAAGAGCAGCAGCCAGCCAGGCCGTTTGGTTCACGCACTGCGTGCCTCTCCTCGAACGCCAGAAAAGCCGGACTCGAGAGGAATCGTAGCCCGTTTCCATCTTGCTTTATGCGAGGTACACGCCTCGTTCCACTGGCAATCCTCGGGATCCCACTAATAAACTGCTGCCAGAGATTGAGCGATAAGTGTCGAGGGGCAGATTTCGTACGTGGAGAATTAATTACCGACTTCTCCCCTTTTTTCCTCGTTTTTTTAATCGATGTCGAGGTAGGTAGTCGAGAGAGTCGTTCTTTGCATTTTGAAATATTAAATTTCCGCGATATATATTAATTTAATAGTTCTCTGAATTTTTTTTTTTTTTAATTTTATAAAAATATACAGAAATACGATAAAAATAGATTATTCGAGATGAGTAAGAAAGATGTAAATATAATTGAACGATATGGAACGATATGGAAAATATAATAATGGTAAAATGTGGAAAGACGATGGGATTCGGTCTCTTAATAATTTTAACCAGAGTGTAATCTCGCGTAGGAGAAGCCGCATAACTTGCCGCCGATATAGCGGGGCTCCTTGTCAAGGACAAATGTCTACGGGCACGCCCTTCGTTCCCCGACTTCCAATTCCGAATACCAGTGTGGAGAGACGCATCTTTGTTCTCGTAACGGGTATTAGGATGGACGTCCGCGTCGTCCTTCTCTACCCTCGAAGCGGTCTCGTTTCCGCCTCCCAAGCATGAACGGTGAAACGTAGCGAGAGAGGAGGATCTAGGCCCTTGGGCGCCGGATCCTGAGCTCCGGTCACCCCTTTTAACCCCTCTCTTCGGGTCAACTCGAGATCTCCACGGACGGTGACTCACTGGACCACGGTGACTCATTCACGATCCTCTTGGTCTCTTTTAATTATTCTCCCGTCTATCTTCTGCGTATCCGATCCGTCTGAGAGCGGATGAATATCTTACGTCACGGCACGTCCTTCGCGCGAACGTCTTAGAAATTCTTAGGATTCCTGAAAAGGTACGACGCGGGAATTATATATATATATCATCGCGAAGAAAATTTTTAGGGAGGAAGAATAATAAAATTTAGCAAATGAAAAATTTCCAAACTACTCTGCTCAAGATGATTCGAAGATGCGATTCGATCTCGACTTATCGCCGGTGTAATTAAAACATTATCCCCGCGAAATAAGGCTGATAAATCCACTTAGCAAATCCCGACAATGGAGAACACGATGGGGCCTGGGCAGGGCGACCGAAGTAATCCATTACTATCCCGCTGAGTTAAGCGCGCGCTATGCGAGATAACCGCTCGGAGGCCGTGACACGCATGAAATATCTCGGCGGGTGAACTAGCCCACGTATCAGGGGGGCCCGTTCGCCAAGATTGCGTAACAGTTTGTCTAAGGTGATCCAATTTGTTGACTCGCCGCGCCAACAAATCGCTCGCATACGCACACCTCGCGTCTCGCTCGCTCCTACGCGCCGCTCTCATTGTGCCGGAGCGGTTCTCGATTCTCCTCGAAACCTGCACACACGCCGTTCTTGCCACGCCACCAGAGTGCATGGCACAACGGCAAACGGCGTTGAATGCCTACCTACCTATCTGAATAACAGCCAACACATAACATAACACCTCGGGAACAGCCGGCCATTGAAGAGCGGCACCATATTGTCCTACGTTACAATGGGTCACTCAGAGGTACTGAATGACCCATGCCCAACCCATACAACTCGCCTATGGGACAGAGCCTCTTTTTCCCTGTCCTGCTCGTGTTCCACTCTCGCCTTCCTCTTCCTTCACCTTCTTCGCTCTCTTCCTACATTTTTCCCCTCTCTTTTCTTCCTTTTCCTTTCTTTTTTTCTTTTATTTTATTCCTCCGCCTCTCCTCCCCGCGTATCCCACCCTTCGACCGAACCTGGAATTCGTCCGGGCACGAGTGAAAGGAAAACGATGCACGCAACTTCTTTGCCGCTCCTCTTTCGAAAAGGTTTCACCGCCACTCTGGAACGAGTAAGAGTGTTGCTAGCTTCTTCTGATGTCATTCCGTTTCGAACGAACGTGTATACGTACGCGAATCGGTGGATGGAATTGTCGATGTAATCGCGCAAACAAAGTTTTTCTCAAAGATTGTGCAGAAAGGAGGGATTTATGAAAATAAAACTCGTGGAGGAGAGGAAGAAGGCTTGAGGGTAAACGTGTTTAGAGAAGAAACGATATTTCGGAGCCAGACAGAGGTGTATTATATATATATCTCATGGCACATTGTTACCTCTGCTGGATTAATATTTTTTCGCTACGAAGCCTCGATATATACACTATGTTTATCTTCGGTTGCTAGCTCGCCTTGGCTCCATCCGGCCAAGTCGCGGTATCAGTTGTGTCTCCGAACTGGACGCGAAGGAAAAACGCGCGATACGCGGATATTAAAGTTCTTGTTCTGAATATTCGGGACGGGGGGCAGGAAGGTGGTGGGCGAGAAGAATGGGGGAGGAGGAGGTTAGGTTAAAAAAAAATGGAGGCAGCCGAATTCAAGAGCACCCCCCTTAGGCAGTTTTCGACATAATAGAAAGCGTCGTTTCGTTGAGTCATCGGGCAAAAGCTTCGAGACGCGCTTTTGTGCCCTGAAAGGAGAAGAAACGGAGTTGGTTCCCCTTTTGTTGCGTTGCTTCGCCTCCACCAAAAATCGTCGTCGTCTCCTCTCGTCTCCACGGCCGCTTATTAAAAAATAAAGAAGAAGGGATATATATATATATATAATAAAAATGAAGAAGAGGAGAGGAACAGGAAAAGAGGCGAGAGAGCGGGAGAGAAAAGGGGAGAAAATGGAATAGCAAAAAGTATAAAATGGGGTGGGGAAGGCGAGGAGGGGAAGAGAGATCGCGAGAGGAATAACGAGACCATATCTCACGCTGCTGGACCATTTACCGCGCCGTCCACGAAGCAAGCGCTGATGCGACGACACGCGAGCCTCCGAACAGCCTCGAGAACCGGCAAAAAGGACGTGGGAATAGCTCGAGAACCGTTGCCTCTTCTTCTTCTTCTTCTTCCCCTCCCTCCTCCTCCTCCTCTGCGTCGCTCCTCGAGAAATCACCTCGCTTCGCGGCGGATTGTTTACTTTGGCGTGTCCGAGACGAAACTTCATCCTTGGCCCGTGGTTCCTTAAACAATCCAAATGGATCCTAGGATGAATCTACAAAACGACAGACCACACAGAATCGACCTCATGCCGCGTCTCGAAAGCTCGAGCTCGTTCTCGAATCCGGGGAGGAGCGGTTTCACGGATGCGAAGCGTTGGAAAGCGTCGTTCGAATTTTTCTAGTTATCGTGCTAGAAAAAATGAAATCGCATCGGTCGATGATATTTGTCACAGATTCGGGCCGTGTGTCGCGTCGATTTGTTGCTCACTGACGTTGTTCGACGAGAATTCAACGAAACGTGGCTGCTAGAGAGACGGGACCCTATCCCGATGGGGTGTCTGTCCCCTCGTAAAAAGAGTTTCATCGGTCACGTTGGCGGAGTTTGTCGAATTCCGTGGAATTACACGAGGTTTATTGACGTCTTTCGGGCTCGAGTTATTTACGACACGGTGCCGCAGTGTAATCGCGTTGTTTCTTTCGTCGTAAACGATGGCCCTAGAACGACGAGATTAACGCTTCGAGGTGGCGAGGTGTGCTTTAATTCGACGCGTTGTTTACCTCTGCTCGATGATTACCTTTGTTCTTTCCCGTAACCACGTATTGTTTTTCGTATAGATTTCGTTTGCGAAGGGGCGATCAAATCGAACCTCGTCGAACGAATTCACTCCTTAAGGATATATGGTTTCAAGCGCGCCCTTTCCCTCCCTTTCCCATCCCAGAAGAAAAAAGCATTGCGGAAATTGGCAATTATTTTCGACGAAGGAAAAAAAAGAACTTACCAAGGAAAGACAAGCGAACGACACGAGCACGATGCGGTTCACATCCCCCAAGGTTTTCAAACCGATCCAACCGAAGACCTCCCTCGTTTCGCCCAGGTAGATCACCTGGCTTCGCTGCTGGACCGTTCCTCAAAGACCTATCTTTGCTGGTCGTGCACGATATTGCGAGCAAAGGGCAGGGGGGAACGTCGTGGTATCGCGTGCGCATCAACATCGCTCCCTCCCCTCTTTCTCTCTGTCCCGTCTATTAATTGCCCGATACAACGTGGCGGCTTCCGCGCCGTACTAATTGCTCCACCGAGATAGGGACGAGGAATAATTCGTGCATCGCCGACGGACGTGAGAGTCTGTGGCGGGATCCATACCACCGTCTTCTACCTCCACGGTTGACGTTGGATCGTAGATTGCAAGAGGATCGAGGCGAAACGTGGAAGACCACGACACAGAGAAAGATCAGAGGGATCGACCTTTGCCCGCTAATCGCGCGAGACACTGACAAAGTTTCGCTCTGGCCTGTGAGCCAACCTCCTATATCGCCCAAACACCGTCTGCCATAGACGACGTCGTGACACCCGTGACTGATCGCGCTCGTAAAACTTCGCTCGCTTCCCTTCCCATCCAGATCGGAAGGGATATCCGGCCTGTCGACGGGGACGCTTTCGAAAACGGACGATCCTTCGCCACTATCGTGCCACCACCTTGTTGCGACGATGAAGAAATTGCGATGCTTACTCGCCCTCTATGTTTCATCCCATTATCCCTGGGCTGTTAATGTCGACTGACGTTTAATCAAGCACGGATCTTATATTATTTTCCTATAAAATAATTTCGTTTCGAGAGAACGGGGGACAAAATTCACAAAAGGGGCGAACGCGATAGTAGTGAAAGATGAAATTTTCAAGTTCAAAGTTTCCTTTTGTCGAATTCACTTGGCTGCTGATTGTACACATATATGCGCTTGATTAAAACGTCGCGCGCTTTCGCTTTGACTCCGCTTATTTTCCGCTCCCGTTCTTCGAAAAAAGAATTGCCCAATTAATTTCACGTCTTCTCCCCGTCAACGAAAATGTCCACGCGTCGGCCGTGAACGCGTCAAAGGACACGTTGATAATTTTTTAATTTTCCCCTGTAAGGATCTGAAGGAGGGAGAAGAGAAGAGAAGAGCAGGCAGGCACGGGTCAAGCAAGGAACGTTCCTGTGTCGAACGTAATTTCGTACGTCGCGTCACACGTGTTACGTTGCATCGTTCCCTCGTAAAAAAATAACGCTGACGTGTGCGAATAACGCGGGGAAAATTTCGTGTCACGGACACGATCACATGCGCGTGCGTGTTCACGACAATGAGTCCGTGGACCGAGAGTGCGGCGGAGACCCCTTGCGTGCGCAGATCAGAAACGTAGGTGTACGCGTTTATGGTTGGACATTGTTTCCATATGGAAGCAAAGAATCGCGTGACCGGCCAAAAGTCGGTCGACTTCCATGCAATCGCATTGTTCCTGTCACGATGATCCAACGATGAATTAGCGTGTGAAGAGGAATCGATAAATCGATATTATCGTTCTAATATAAGATTTATAAGATTGCATTCGTCGAATTTATCTCGTACGCCCGATACATTGATAAACGATACATTGAATCGTATAATACTAGATCATTCGAGAATGAACTTTGATAAAGATCGTATCCCTCGCGTTTTCTCCCGCATCCCACCAATAACGCATCCTACTATTTGCACTGGGATTAAGTGAAAATAGAGAAGATAAGAGAAATGTTTCTGCTCGTTGAACTTCGATCTCCTTA